AACCCTGAAACAACCTCTGGGCTGATCTAAGTCAGGGCATGACTAACTCACAGATCAAACCCTGAAACAACCTCTGGGCTGATCTATGATAGGGCAAGGCTAATTCTAATAAGGACTATTGTATATTTTTTAATTCTTTTTCTTATTCCTTCTGTTTTCAGGTGCTTGGAGTAATAGAGAATCACTTCACTAACCGTCATATCAAGGAACACCTGTGTCTTGCCTTTGAGAATGTCCAAACGATCCAATTAGAGACAACCAGTGACGAATCGACTAGGAAAAGACGACGGAAAAGACAAGCTACGAAGAAAGATGAGCCTGCCAAGGTATAATACTTTAAGAGTAAATGGTTTGAACTCAGGCTTTGAAGTTTGTTGTGAAATGTGATCGTCCTGGTGAGTGTAGTCTTGAGAAAGACTGTTGTTGGGGGTGACTGATGTTTCGACAACCTAAGCGGGAGTCATTTTCAGAGTCCAGTGAGAACAGTCTTTCTCAAGACTATACTCACTCGGACAATCACATTTCACAACAAACTAGAATACTTTATTGAATAACTGAAAGCTTGGCATAACCTTTATTCGTTTCTATATTCATCTTAAATGATACTTATTCATTTGTCTCACGATCAGCGGCCAATCTCTGCTCAAACCACGGTGCAACGTAGACGCAGTCATTGCCAAAAGTAGAAACGAATTATGCTTTTCGCAATGATTGCTGCAACTTGTCTAGTGAAATTTTGGAAATTGCGCTCTAGATTACATGCTTTAATGCTCCGTGCAACTTGTGTCGCAACGCCGTTGCGAGACAAGTTGCAGAAAATATTGCTCCATGTAATCGCGCGTTTAGCATAAGCCAGCCGGATTGTATTAGTACACTAAAATGCGTTACACGTTGGAGGACAGTTTGCATGGATAGTATTATAAAGCAGAGGGCAGATCACTCATGTGCACTGCCTTTGCGAGATAGCTTCCGAAGGAGCACGTAATGATATCTATACAACATTGTTTTATGGGTTCATTATTTTTGCAAAGTACAATGCACATGACCACGTCATGTCCTTGCTGCAAAGCCCCTAGTTTGAGATGACCTTTATGTCTTCTTCTCATGTCCCTAGTTTACGTGCACGTTCCCTAGTTACGTGGCCTATTTTATGCCCCTGATGTACGGCCCAAGTCTGCGATGATCTGCTTACCTTAATATTTTTTAGGTCTTTACCCCAACGAAAGACATCCGTGCTCAATTCTATTCCCGTATGGGCCTTAAGAAAGGAGGATCTCTGGGCCTCGAGGTTCCTACATGTACCCATAGCAGTAGCGCTGAAGAAGATGAAGTCAAAAACAAACCTAGAGAAAAGAAATCAAGTGATAAGGATTCCAGTAGTGCTACAGATGGAACTGTTACAGCAGAGGAACGACCTTGTATCACATCCAAGTCTACTACTGACATGCATGGTAAAATATATAGAGTGGAATTCGTATAACTGAAAAAAAAAATCATGGACTTGCCTTGACCTTGACAATGTTATCTTGGAGCATTTTGATTGGTTAAGTAATGAATTGGCGAGTTGTGATTGGTCTAAATAAAAGATGTAATCAATTCCTGCCACAGTGCCATCGGTGCCGTGCCTTAACTTTTGAGCGTAATACTAAATCTACTCTATAACGTCTAACGTTCTGGGTTATCGACCCCGGATATGAGCATACGATAGAGCGTTTACACTTACAACCATTTTGGTTTACAAAACAATAAAAAACTTTCTGCCCAATACCTTACCAGATAACCTGTTTGACGTGTTTGTCTTGTATCTTTGTAGAGCGTCCGTTAGACCCCAATACCTTACCAGATAACCTGTTTGACGTGTTTGTCTTGTATCTTTGTAGAGCGTCAGTTAGACCCCAATACCTTACCAGATAACCTGTTTGACGTGCTGTTTTCTTGCGAGTCGGCTCATGTACCGTGGAGATCTCTTTTGGCACATGCCATCGCTTTACATCGGTCTCTCTTCGCAGTGCTTGCCGCTTGTTATGAGGTGAGTCTTTTGTTGTTGTTGTTGTTGTTCTTGCTCTTGCTCTTGCTGTTGTTGTTGTTGCTGCTGTTGCTGTTGTTAAGCGATGCTGTTGTTGTTGCTGTTGTTGCTATTGCTGTTGTTGTTGTT